TTAAGTCCATATAAAGACTTAACAAGTTTACAAACCTTACCAGCTAGAGCATCAAGTCCTTCTGGTTTCTCCATGTAAATCTTTTCTGTGAGATCTCCATTGAGAAAGGCAGTCTTCACATCCATCTGATATATAACGAACCTTTTAATCGCCCCTATGCGATAAGCACTCTGATGGTAGTGATCCTGCAAACTGGTGCATAGATATTAAAGAAATCTATACATTCTTTTTGAGAGAATCCTTTTGCCACCAGTCTTGCTTTGTAATTTTCAATAGTACTATCAGGACGAAGCTTTTTTCTTAAAGATCCATTTGTAACTTATAGGCCTTGCACCTTCAGGTGCATCCACCAGCTCCCAAGTATGACTTTGGATTAATGAATCCATCTTATCATCTATAGCTTCTTTCTACAAAAGAACGTTTGTTGACTACATTGCTTCTTGAAAAGTCTGTGGATCTCTTTCCATATTATAGGTGATGAAGTCATCTCCAAAATCTTTATGTCTCCTAATACGATTGGAAGATGGTTCGTGTTTGGTGGAAAATTTGTAGTAAAACTGAAAGAAATATATTTGATTTGTATTCTCTTAATCTCAATTATAATTTGAATTTTCGATTACAAAAGAGAGAAGAATTAATCTGAATTCTCATTTTTGTTTAATTCTGGGTTCTTCACGGTAGCGATGGAGTGTCTCCTTCGAATACTCGTGTCGAGTTTGCTCTCCGTTGATGATCCGAACATCTTGATCCACTAGAACGATATCTTCTCCTCACGATTTGACACTGTAGAGAACTTGCAAAGCAAGTTTTAGAACTCCGAACGAGTTTGAAACTCTATGAAATAGTTGATTTAACCGAAATCGGTTTGTAAACCAAGGATGAAGAAAACTCATGTTGTCGATCTTCAAAGCTCCATCAATTCCCCCAAAGAGCTAGCCGAAGATCTCTTCTTCGTTGCCAAGTCCAAGGACTGAAGAATCAATCCGAGTGCCCTAACTCAATTGAGTTTCTCGCTATTTATAGGGGATTAAGAGGTATAAGCACCCTCTTAATTTATTCCTAAGTGGGGCTGAGTGGGGTGTAACCGCCCCTTTAAACAGCTCTCTAAATCATGGAGAAAACAGTTTTGAAACCGTTCAATTTGTGCTTTGAACGAGTCAAATGCTGAAAAATAGCGTTCAGGGCCCGAACTCCGCGTTTTAGACTTAAAACGCAAAGTTGGACCTATTTTAGTGGTTGAACGCACAGGTCACGCTGCGTTGTAAATCTGAAACGCAGAGTTGGTACACAGAGATGAACTCCGTATTTTGGACCTGAGACGCAGAGTTGGGCTCTGCATGAACTCTGCGTTTTGGACCTGAGACGCAAAATTAGGCTCTGCATGAACTCTGCGTTTTGAGTCCACGAACTCTAAGTCTGGACTTGAATACTATGGATGGTCTCCGTGTTTTGACTCTAGAACACGGGCATAACCTCTACGTTTTGATGTTGTAACACATGGATGACCTTTGTGTTTTGATGGTGTAACACAGGGATGACCTCTGTGTTTTGATGTGAAGAGACCATCAATTTGTGGTCTCTTTTGCTAGAGCGTTGCAAAGACCGTCATCTTGTAATCTTCATCTTGACTCCTTGAAAATATGAGATTCATTATATTGTAATTCCCGATGTTGATTGTAAAGGCTGTTAAACTAGAGATTTCATCGGTTGTTGTGAAGGTCGTCAGATTGTAACATTCATAGATGTCACGCCCCGCTTCCCAAAATACACGGGAATCGGAACGTGAACAAGCCCGCGACGTATTCGATTGAGAAGAAATATTATCATCATTTTTTTTTCTTTTCTTCTCAATCCAATACGCTAAGCGTCAAACACATAAATCTCAATCACAGGTCCCCGATCACAATAGCAAGAATAGAAAGACAATCCAGAATAAGAAATAAACATATCATCCATAGTGAATCATCCCAGACATAAATGTGGGTTCATCATACCCTTACTACAACAACAGTTCAACTAGGAAATAAGAAATACATAGTCCATAAAAGGAAATACTAACAAAATAACCAAATCTGTCACCAAACTAAAGAAAATACTGCAAGAGTGCTCTATTAGCTACTACAGAAAAGAAAATGCGTCTAGGCTTCAGTTTGTTCTTCCACTCCATCAGAAGGACATTCCGGCTGAGCATACACTGGTTCGGCGGCATCATCGAACTGAACCTGTTCGTCTCCTAAGTCTGACGCACACCAGAGAAAACAGGTGTACGTCAGGTGCATGGCGCACGGCAATATCTCACATGAACAAATAAAACGGTCTAATGACCCATGCTATGATAATAATAATAATAACAAAAAGATAATGATACATGCAACTGAAATCTAATGGTAACATACAACTATGTGAATACAGTGACTGGGTCGAATACTAACCAACCTAAAACTCAGTGGTCCACATCTCACACAGAGTCAACGCTCCTATCATCGGATAACTGGCTGTTCACAAATCCCCTACGTGCATCCAATACCGCTACACGAATCGGTCAGAGGACTACACGCAATCCGATTTCGGCCTGGTCCGAACTCAAGCAGAACTCGGGTGACTACACAAATTCACTGACTAAAGTGACTACACGAATTCACTTTAGCCCATCAAACCAACCCCAGTGACTACACGAATTCACTGGCGCGAGCCTGGAAGATACATCAACAGCTATATCCGATCACATGAACATTAACTTCCCCATCCCAACTCTTCTCGTTTTTCTAAGTCAACACAACACATGTCTTTAGGTCTTATTCATGTCACACAGGTCACTATAGTCATAAACTCCTAACGGTTCTCAATCACAACAAGGAACAATCAATGCAACTAATCATGTACAATAGTATCATAGCATATCAGATAATCAAGACTAAGAATTTGAATCATAAAATTGTTCTAAAATAATCTTTTGAAATAATAAAGTTATTTACTTAAAAATAATCCCTTTTTCAAAATAAGTTATTTTCTCACTATATTAATTCTAAAAATAATCTTTTAAAAATAATAAATTCATAAATTCAAAAATAATCTTTTTATAAGATAAATTCTTATTAATTCAAAATAGTCTATTTTCCCAAACATAATTTCTTTTTAAAAATATGTCATTCTAAAATGATTTCTTCCACAAAATAATTTCTAAAAATTATTATAATTATTCTAAAATGATTCTTTTTCCAAGATAATTCCTTTTAAATTATTATAATTTTCCTAAAAAATGATTTTGTTCTCACATAAATTCTTTTTAATTACTATAATTGTCCAAAAATAATTCCGCTGCCAAAATAAATTCTTTTAATTTGTCATAATTATTCTAAAAATACTAATTATCATATTATTATGATTTATCTAAAATCATTCATCAAACAATCCCACGCAGATAATTATTGACAAATCTAAAATTACAGATAATTCATAATAAATACAAAAATTCAGTTTTGAACAAGTGGGATCTTGCCTTGGGTATATCGTGGACTGTAGTAGGGACCGTCGGGGTGGTTGCACAGCGTTACGACGGGTTTCGTGGAAACGACGGCTAAAATTACAATTTGAGTGTTAATGCGACGTGTGATATTCGAACGAGTATAACGAGGTGTACATAAGGAGCCCAAGTGAAAGAAATATACCGTGTGATAGATAACACGAAGGGCTACGCACCGGCGAAGGAATCGACAGTCTTTGCTGTCTCGCCAGCGGGACAGTCTTTGCTGTCTCGCCAGCGAGACAGTATTGAAATAGTCAAAACTTCATTTGTAACTGCCCTACGCGTGTCCATTAACTACCAAGGGACGTGGGAAACATCATGGGCGAAAATCACGTGGATAACTGTCAAAATAACGGAGTTTGAAACGTGAGAGAACAGTTACAGCGAGAAACTACCATTTTCCGAGACAGCATTTACTGTCTCGCTGAGCGAGACAGCAAATTTACTGTCTCGCGGGTCGAGACAGCAAACGCTGTCTCGCCCAGCGAGACAGTAAACACTGTCTCGCCGTACTGACTTCTTCGATTGTTAAGTTTTTGCAGTTACTGACCCTTGAGGCTATAAATACCCCCCTAGGGTCACTTCTGACGAGGATCGAGCATTTGTTAGAGCATTCCAGAGCAGAGAGAGAGCAGATTTGAGTTCTTTTCTTGCAACGCCTTGAAATTAAGCTTCGACTTGATTTTAAGAAGAACGACTATCTTACTTCGATAAGATATCGTTTCAATTTCTACTTCGATAACGAAGTTAGAATCATAAGCCCCCTCTTCACGATCTGTGAATCGGCGGTCCACGAACCAAAGCGTTCCCGGCACAGGCAAAGTCCCATATTTAATAGAGGGGAGAGAGAGAATGAGAATGAGAATGAGAGAGAGAGGACGTGTGAGTGAGGGTGAGAGAGGGATTCTTTTGAGGAGTGGGGGAATCACGAGGTTGGGGTGTGCGGGAAACATGGGGGAGGGTTTTAGGGAGATGGGGTAGGGGAGAGATGAGAGATGAAGAGAGAGAAAGACAAAGAGATCAACCGATGAGAGGGAAAACACAGGGAAAAATACCCCTTTACAATATAATTTAAAAATACCAAAAATTTAAATCATATAATTATTAAAAATTTATGATCAAAATAATAATAATAATAACAATAACAATAATAAATAATTAACTATTAATTTAAAAGTTTTACCGAAATAATTAAATTTATAATTAGCAAAACTATTAAAATAATACAATACAGTATTTTTAAATCGTAGAAAATTCTAGAAAAATTGGGGAAATACAAATACTCTTTTAGAAAAATAATATTTAATATTTAAATACCAGAAAATTATTTAAACCCGTATTAGAAATTTACGGTCATTACAATAGATCTACGTTAAAGTCTTCAAATTATAGCCTTATGGAAGTCGTTAGATTATAACTTCCATCATCGGTGTTTGATTGGGGGATCAGCTATCTGTTGTGATTTTTAGACAGCCTACAGTTCGATAACTCCGTCATCATTTACACTTTCTGTTTCTCGTGAAACTGGCTCCTCTTGTGTATCTGACATACTAGTATTCTCTGCTATATCCTTGAGCAATGAGCATTTATCTTTGATAAACTTATCCTCAAAGAATTCTGCATCCCGAGCTTCAATGATAAAGTTGGTTCCAAGGTCCAGGAACCTGCACGCATTGTTATCTCTAGCAAAGTCAAGAAACACACATATGTTTATTTTTGGCCCGAGCTTAGGCCTTCTGATATCTGGAATTAGAACGTATGTGAGACACCCCCACACTTTGAGACTATCCAAAGAATCTGGATTCCCAACCATAACTGATGAGGAGTATTATCAGTATTAGAGGAGGGTACTCTGTTTAGAATCCAGTTTGCCATCAGTAAAGCCTCTCTCCAATAGCATGTAGGAAGACCAGATGTGATTAGCATCGAATTCACCATCTCGGTCAATGTGTGATTCTTTCTTTCTGCAATTCCATTAGATTACGAGGAATACGGAACAATAGTTTTAGCAATGATTCCATGCTCCTCGAAGTATGCCTCCGATTCCTTAGAATGGTACTCTCCTCCTCTATCGCTCCTGAGTTTTTTCACCTGCAGTCCAAGCTGCTTCTCCACTCGAGTCCGAAACTCGACAAACTTGCTGAAGGTTTTATCTTTAGATTTTAACAGGTAAACATGGCAGAAGCAAGAATGGTCGTCAATGAATATGATGAAGTACTTCTTGCCACCACGAGTGACGAAGCTCTTGAAGTCACAAGTATCTGAATGAATCAGATCCAACAGGTTGGTGCTCCTCACGACACTTGAAAATGACTTCTTCGTCAGCTTTGCTTGTGCGCAAACTTCACACTTCTCATGTTTGTTACCCCTACATTTTGAAAGTAATCCTAACTTCTCCATGCTAGACAGTTTTCTATAATTTACATGTCCTAGCCTATTATGCCATAATGCAGTGGAGTAAGCAGAAGGGAATACTTTATTTATAACTAAGTTAGGTGCAATAGTACTAATCTTGTACATGCTATCAATACGATATGCATCATATAGTAGACTTCTAGAGACTAAGTTTTTGGCAATTGAGGGAACATGTTTCACATCCTTTAATGTGAGAGTCTTCCCTAAAGAGAGAGTCAGCACCACAATCCCAGTTTCAAGAACAGAAACCACAGAACAATCAGCCACTGATACATTCTCTTTGGCAGCAACATAAGAAGAGAATAGATCTCTGTTGGAGCAAACATGGCAAGTAGCACCTATATCTAACCACCAACGAGAGATGTTGTTAGGAGTTGTTACCTGGAAGAGTATAGCCACACATGATTGATATTGTGTGTAGTTTCTTTCTTTGGTGCTTTGCAGTCCTTGGCAAAATATTCTTGTTTCCCACAATTGAAGCATTTACCGCTCGCTCTTCTTGAACTCCTTCTTCTGAACGTTCAGGTTCTTTGGATTATGGTTCTTCTTTTTGTTAAAGAACTTCTTCTTCTTGTTGAAAGATGAATTATTACCCTTTTCAGAATTAGCAGCCAACATGTTAGCAGACGCCTTCTGCTTAGAAAGGAGCTCAGTCTTCGTGTGAGTCCGAGTCTTGTCCTCGATCCGAATGAACCTCTTCAAATCAGACAAAGTCACATGTCTTTTTCTTCTTCAAATATCAGTGGGGAATGACATCCAAGATGGAGGAAGCTTGTTGACAATTACACCAGAGATAAAGGTTTGACAAAGACTGATCTTTCATCCTTCAGCTTCATAACAAGCTTTTCAAGCTCTTTAACTTGAGGCAAAACCTCAGTGTCATCTTGAAACTTTAAGTCCAGAAACTTGTCAATGAGGTGAGATTTGGATAACTTCTCCTCATCATTGTACTGGTCCTCCAGAGCATTCCAGATTTCCTTTGTAGAAAGCTTGTTGGTGTAAGCATCTGCCAAATGATCGGCCAGACAGTTAAGAAGATAACTCCTGCAGAAGTGATCATCTCTAACCCAAGAGGCTTCAGATTCAGAATCTTCTTCAGAGTCAGGTTTCTCCTCAGAAACCACATAGTATATTTTCAAGAGTTGCATCCCGATGATAACTTTTCGACGCCATGCGTTAAAGTTGGAACCGTCAAAGTTTTCTAACTTAAGACAGTCCACTCTAAGAGTCCTCGCAGGATCCATGGTAGATCAAAATAATGCTTTAAAATTGTTGACGTATGTGGTTAAATCTGGAATAATACAGATATATAACAGCAAAAAGTAAACATAAAATTAAAGTGTAGTAATTTAAAATTTTTCAACTCAGCTGCTGTGCGTTTGTAAAACGATGTGCTTAAAGTATTATTTGACCTACTCTGGTGCAAGGATTCCAAGGCCAAATTGCTTCCAGGAACATCAGTCCAGTACTCTGGTATGTATCGATCCAGTACTATCAAGATCTCCTCGATCTATCAGGCAAAGATCTCATCGATCTATAAGACAAAGATCTCCTCGATCTATATGACCTTCTCGGTTTAGGCACGGTTCCTACTAGCTATTCTACAACATATATATATAT